GCGACCGGAAATTGGCGATTTCGCTCGGGACTTCCTCGCAAATGAATTTCCGGTCCCAGTTATGTTGCTTGGAAGTTGCGATTCTGCCTGGTACTTTTGCCAGTCATGTTTACCTCTCGGGGAGCGACGATGCAAAGGGGCCTGCAGTGCCGATCCGGACTTTTTAATCCAGGGGGTGGTAGGGACATCGGGCGGTCCCTTCCGCTTCGTGGGTGCCGCGCCTGGGTCAAAATCGACCAGGGCGAGATCAGAGAGGCGGCTGCGCCACATCTTCCTGGTCATGTAGCTGTGCGCCGCGCGGGCGATGACGCCCTGATGGCCTACGAGCGTAGGCCCCTCGGTGGGGAGGCAGGGGTCGTCGTGCTGCTGGAGGAATTGCAGCCAACAAAAGGCGACGTTTTCATCCGCCCCATCGCGAGGCGCAGCGATTTGCATGTTCAAGTCGCCGCCCCAGACCGTGAGGCCCTGGTTCGGCAGAAGGACAACGGCGGCCAAGGACTTCCGCCATGATATCGGGGGGCAGGCAGACCCTGATGAAGCGGAAAGGATTGCCCCCCCTTTGGCAGGAGACGAGGAGCACGTTGCCCAGGGGCGAGGAACTGTGCCAGGGCCTCCTGCTACGGGGCGGGGAGGACGACGGCGACGCCTGCAGCCAGCCCAAGCCGTTCGGTGGCCTCAGCCGCAGAGGCCGAGAGCTGGCGGCTCGGCAGGAGGGACGCCCACATGGCTGCCTGGTGTGCTTCCCACTGGGCTTCCTGGGGGAGAGCCACGCGGTCGCCCGCGGTGATCGGGAGAAGGAGGGCGCGTTTCTCGCGAGTCTTGCGTGGGCGGGCCTCGGTGAGCGGGCGTGACGAGGGGGGAGGGCTGAGGCACGACGCGCCCGCGCTGCGAAGGCCAAACGAGACCACCGACGTGCCCCGGAAAGATCTCCCCGTGTGGCAAGGGCCGGGAAGGCACGGTATGTTCTCTCTCTCTCTCTCTCTCTCTCTCTCTCACTGACCCACTCACACACACACACACTCTTGACTGAGCATCGCAAACCAGGCCAAACCTGAAGCCATTCGATTGGCGCGCGCGGGCCGGCTTTGAACGGAAGAGGTCACCCACGCGACGCGGGACAGGACGACAAGGGACCAGCAAGACGAGGGCAAGGAGGCCGAGCAATGCGAAGAGGAAGCGAGAAGCAAAGAGCGACAGCGAACAGCTGATGGAGACAGGCGGCCGGACGCGAGGGACGGCTGGCCGACCGAGACACAAACGCACAAACACACACACACACACACACACTGACACACACACACACACACAGGCACACTGACACACACACACACACACACACACACACGCGCACACGCACACAAACACACACACACACACACGAACACAAACACACACACACACACACACACACACACACACACACACGCATTCGCACACACTCACACTATGTTGGCGGGCGCGGACTCGCAAGCACCGTCGAGGCGGAGAAAGTCGCCGAACGGGCGTGCGCGCGCGCGGGGGGCTGCTCAGACCGCGTGGGACCCAGATTGGGTCGACCAGGCCATCCGCATGTCCGGGCATGGGCAGCGAGGGCGCAGCGGGTGGAAAGGGCACAAGCCTGGCAAAGTGGAGGCACAATACGACGAGCAACGAGCGATCGAAAGTTACGGAAGGGACGGCCGACGCCAAGGCGGCAGCACGCAGCTGCAAGAATGCATTTAACAGGCGTTAAGTGGGGGGGGGCATAACGTAAGGCCCCCCACCTCGCCGTGTGGTTCTCGCCGTGTGGTTCCGGCACCACAACAGGCGTCCGCGCGCACGACGACGATGAGCTACGAGCGACGAGCGACGAGCGACGACGACGACGACGAAGTCGACAAACACGACGACGACGACGACGACGACGACGACGACGACGACGACGACTTCGACGACGACGACGACGACGACGACGCGCGACGAGCGACGAACGACGACGACGACGACGCCGTGCTGTCCCGGCGCCATCACAGAGTCCGCGCGTTCATCAGCCGTGTTGCGAGGTTCAGACGTTGCACATGATATCACGCTGGCAGGAACTATGGGGCTAAGACGGAGTGAATAAGAATGGGGAGACGTGGGGGGGAAATACAATGGTAGCTCTTCTGTGCGCAACAGTGCCTGTGCGCACGAGCCACGACCAGGGGCCACGAGCCACGACCAGTTCAGTACCATCTGTGTACATCACAGTGCCTGCGCGCACCACAAATCCTGTGTGCCCTCTGGGACCAGGTGGGGTCCCGACGAGACCACATGCCGGAAAATCGTGCGGGCGGCCGATCTTATCAAATTCAATGTGTGAGTTGATTGTGAATATTGTTTTTCGTTGCCCTGCCTGCAGTCCTGCACTTTGCGACCACGACGCCCGCGCACGCAATGGCCACTGCCCGCACCACAGCGCCCGCAAAAAGAAATGGAAAGCAATGGGAAGGAACGGGGAGGAGAGGTAATGGTACCGCTTATGTGTGCACAACAACGCGTGTGCGCACGAGCCACGATCAGGGGCCACGAGCCACGACCATTCCAGCACCATCCGTGTGCACTACAATACCTGCGCGCACCACAAAGCCCGCGCGCACATCTGGGGTCCCGACGGGACCAAATGCCAGAAAATCGTGCGGGCGGCCGATCTTATCAAATTCAATGTGTGAGTTGATTGTGAATATTGGTTCTCTTTCCCTGGGTGCGGTCCCACACTTTGACCCCACGACGCCCGTGCACGCCATGGCCACTGCGCGCACCACAGCGCCCGTGAACACCACGTGGCCTGGCGGCGCGCGGATCTGCGTCAACATCAAGAATATCAGGCGCAGTGGGGGAAGGAGGAGCGGCAACAGCAGGAACAGGACGAGGAATAGGCGGAGCCTTGGCCTCATGCCCAGGGCCACGATGGGGTCGAAAGCTCCACGGCCGTGACCTCGTGCCCAAAATCCGCCGGCCCCCTTGTGGGGCCACCAGGCTGTAGGACCGTGATTCGCAGTTTCCTGTACCAGTTGTAGTTTCTAGTTTCCAGTGTTACAGTTCTGCTTCTTGCTGGTTACTGTAACTAGTTGACTTCTTGCTGATTACTGTAACTAGTTGATTGACCGCGCGAGGGGGGGGGAGGCCCAAACGGGATTTTTAGCACCCCCTGGGCAGGGTCAAAAACACTGGGATTTGCCACATTTCTGAAATCGGTGCCACCCCTCACGCAGATCCGCGGGGTCAGGGTCCAAAAACACATGGGATTTGCCACATTTCTGAAATTCGGTGCCACCCCTCACGCAGATCCGCGGGGTCAGGGTCCAAAAACACAAGGGATTTGCCACATTTCTGAAATTCGAACCCATCACGCACATCCATCGCAAGGCGTGGTAACCCAAACTGCGAGAACTCCCTCGGCCCTTTCATCGCAAGGTGTGGTAACCAAGCCCTTAAACCATACACGTCTTACCAATCGCCAGGTGTGGTAACCCCTCTTGTGATCAGTTGGTTTTGCTGATTGCGACTCGGCTTCGCATGAAGTTTCGATACTGCTTCACGACAGCGCCAAGGCCTCATGACTTAGCTCTTCCATGGCCCATTCTCCGAGAGAGGGGGCCGGCGGCAGGGGGCGAAGCCCTTACGGATAACGTTAGCACCTATGCGCTCGCTCTTCCCAAACAGTGCTTGCATTGCCACGTGTTACCTGCGTTACTTTAGGACTATGACCTACGATGGTTACGTACCTTCCGTGGGTCCGTCACATGTTTTTGCATCCCATACCATACATGTCGGAGGAGGAGGAGGAGGAGGGGGAGGAGGGAAAGGAGGAGGAGAAGGAGGAAGACTTTTCAGTGGGAACACAAGTCACAATTTCCGATCCCTATGCGGATCCCAGTGCGGATCCCTGTGCGGATTCCTATGCGGATGGATTCCTAGGCGGATCCTTGTGCGGATCCCAGTGCGGATCCCTATGCGGATGCTCATGCGGATCCCGATGCGGATCCCGATGCGGATGCCTATGCGGATGCCCATGCGCGTTGCCGTGCGAATCCCTATGCGAATCCCTATGCGGGTCCTTACGCGAATCCCTATGCGGATTCCTATGCGGAGGCGCATGCGCACCCCTATGCGGATCCCCATGATTTTCCCAATGCGGACGGGACCCCTATGCGGATTCCTATACTAACACCTATCTGGATCCCGATGCGCACGGGGGCAGTGCCCGGGGCGCACTGGGGTGGGGGGGGGGCGTTACGTCATGGGACGGGGGGCCGGGGGCGATAGCGCCCGTTATGGCCCAAGCAATAAAGAGACAGGTTCCAAACGGTGGGAGGCGGGGAGGTCAGCCAGCTGCGAGGCCGAGCGCGCCGTCGGCACGCCCGAGTGATGGGAGCAAGGAGGAAAACACACTGCAGGCACACCACCCTTGGTGGTTCAAAGATGGGAACCTAAGGGATGTGGTCCTGAGGACGATGTGCCCCAAACAACGTGAATCTACCCTTGGATCCTTTCCTATCCTGAGGCCCCCATCCCTCAGCACCTTTTCTTTGAACCACGGACACCCGGGAAGAGGTGGAGGCGAGGCCCCAACCAGAGGGGGTGGCCGAGTGGAGCGCGGCGCGAGTGTGGGGCAAGCCGATTCCACGGCGCCAGCGCCCAGACGTGCGGGACTGGCGCGGGCGGAGAGCAAGCCAACGCCCAGAGCGACGCCTCGGTGGGCGCGCTCGCCGACACAAACACACGCACACACACACACACACACACACACAAGCACACACGCATACACGCACACACACAGACACACACAGACACACACACACACACACGCACACACACACACACACACACACACACACACACACACACACACACACACGCGCGCGCGCGCACACACGCGCACCCACGCACGCACGCACGCACGCACGCACGCACTTCCCCCTTGCGACCCCCGCCTCCTCGGAGCCCTGGGGGCGCGGGGCGGGGCGGGGCGCCGAGGCCTATTCGGCGGTCCCGCTGCGAGACGGCCTCCGCGAGTGAGGAGGGAAGAAGAACAAGGAAAGCGGAGACGGGGTCGGGGCGTCCTTTTCCTATCTTCCTCCTCCTCCTCCTCCTCCTCCTCCTCCTCCTCCTCCTCCTGCCCCACCCCAAGAGAAAGGGAGGGGGAAGGGAGAGCAGAAAAGGGGGAGAGGCGACGGGAGAAGATAATGAAGAAAAAGAGGGGCGCAAACGGAGAGATGGAGAGGCGAGCAAACAGAGAAATGAGAAACAGATGGAGGAGAGAGGCGAGAGGAGCGGGCTGACGAGACGAGAAGGAGAGACATGAGGGGGGAGCAGGGGGGGGGGGGGGGGCAGACCCTGCAAGGGGGAGCGGAGGGAGCAGGAGTAGGCATGCTGGGGGAATATAGAGGACGGTGCTCAAGGGAACGGCGACGACAGAGAGGACGACGTTGAGGAGGCATGGGAGGAGGAGGAGAGAGGGAGAGAAGAGAGAGAGAGAGAGGAGACGGGAAGCACAGCCGAAGCCGGGCCACAAGAACGACGTGGATGAAGAGCACTGGCCATTTCGCCGAAGGCCAAGGGCCCAATGGAGATACTGAGGGCGAAACGCAGCACAATGCGAGGGCTCGAGCTGAACAGTGCTTTTCGTGTTCATGTTGATTTCGTTTCTTCGTTCTGTCTTCGTTCTGCCCCTGCTGCGAAAGCAGACCAAAACGAAAACGGTCCGCGAAGTCACCAAAATACTGTGCAGCTCGAGCCCTGAAACACAGCACAATGCAACTCAATGCAAAGCAAAACCAATCAATGCCACGCAGTGCGCCCACGAAACGGAACGCGTTCCCCGGATTGCGGTCGCGCCGTACTTATGATTACTTAACGAGCGGTGTCTCCTGGATGCCCGTGTCTCGGGCCTGTTTCGGGCCCGGGGGCCATCAGACACAGATCCAGGACGACGAAAAACTACCCCTGGGGAAGGGGTCGGGACCTCTGGGGCCACGGCTGGGTGAAATCACATCGGCGATGTCAGGGACTACTTTGGGGACGCACGAGCAAAGGAACAACAAGACACAGCAAAAACATACACTGTCGGAACTCTGTACGGATTTCTTGGATCGGTGCTGGACCCCCCTCCCTAGCGCGCTCCGCGCGCCAAGGGCGGCGCCTGAGGCGCCGCCAGGGGGGCCCAGCGCAGATCCAAGAAATCTGCGCGGAGCTACGACAGTTTATGGTTATGCTGATTTCCCTTCCTCGAGTGTCAGGGACGCACAAGGATGCAAAGGGCCCCCCTGTCTGCAGCACGTGCGGAACGCTAGAAGATCTCGGGAATCCTGGAGGCCTTGGAAATTCTGCGGCGTGCCAGTATCATGATCTGCTGTTCCTCTGAGGAACTGCCCTCGGGGCGTCCGAAGACGCCTAAGGCTTTGGAGGCGGCCAATGGGTCTGAACTGGATGGGCCCCCAGAACATTCGTCAAGAAGAGCATGAGGCCAAATCCGGTCAAAATCGGTCCCCGGACCCCTCCTGGAGCTCACGTGGAGTAATGTTTGACCCCGGACCCTCCAGAAAAAAACAGAGGCCGAAACAAAAAAAACGTATCGGAGCCAGAACCTCGAACCTCTTGCCCCTTCCAGCTCGCCAGAAACGGTGCTCAGCCACCTCAGATCCACAGCCGGATCCAAGAAGGGGCCCCAGCGACGTCTGGCGCTGCATCGGTAACGTCGGCGTAAAGAAAAACAGGCTCCACATCGAGCCGCATCACCGATGCAACGGCGATGCGGCGCGATCCTCCGACCCCATCTACTAAGTACCCTGGCCCCAGAGATCCTGGCGTCGCACGTTTCTCACCACGGGCGAGTTCGCTTTGTTTCGGGCCCCAGAGCCATCACACACCGATCCAGCTCGAAAGATACCGCAGGGAGATGGGGTATAGGGCTCCAGACACAACAGAAACCACAGCGAAAACGGTCCACGAAATCGCCAAAACACCGTTCAGCTCGCACCCTGGTCTTGAGGCCCCGGGGCCGTTCAGCAGAGCTGTCCAAGACGAGAGGCCGGCCCGCGGGGAGGGACCCCCTGGCACCGTTTCCTCTGACCGCATCATGGGGAAGCCCAGAATGACCTCCTGCTCCTCTGAGGGGCTGCCCTCGGGCCGCACGGGGGTGCCAGGAGGGCCCCTCCGCCTCCGCCCCCGGCGCGCTGGGTTCGTGCCCGACGGCCCGAAGGCCCGAAGAGAACAGCCCCCAGAGGCCGAGAAAGAAAAAACAACATCAAAAATGAACCAGTGCTGGGCCGAAAAAGTCGAATAGGGGATCGACTACAGAATTGGTGCACCCCGTAATTGATTTCTCCGTCGAATCTACGCAACATACCTAAAATGGTCCTTAGATCTACGGAGCATCCGAAGTATCCCTCGTAGATTCAGCGGAAAATCAATTCTGGGGCAAAGCAATTCTGTAATCGATCCCCTACTCAAGAAAGGCAAAACTGGACCCCCAGTCGGATCCCAGAAGGGCCCCGCACCTCCGCCCACAGCGCCCTCTGAGCGGAGGAACAGAAAAAAACACGAGCATACACTTTTGACGCCCCGCGCAGATGTCTTGGATCTGTGCTGAGCCCCCCTCCCTGACGCGCGGAGCGCGCCAGGGGCGGCGCCAAAGGCGCCGCCAGGGGCCCGGGCGCAGACCGGAGGAATCCGCGCAGAGCGTCGAACAGTTTTTGTTTATGCCTTGTGCTCCCCTTCGACCGAAGTTGCTCTGCGGGGCTGCCCTCGGTGATGGGCCGATTTCCATTACTGCTACCATGGGTAGGAGGAGGAGGAAGAAGAGGAGGAGGAGGTGGAGGAGGAGGAGGTGGAGGAGGAGGACGACGACTTCCCCATCCTCCCTTCTCCCCCGTCCTACCTAAGGGTTACCTATGGCAGTGGTGGTAAGCAGTCAACCCATCACTCGGGGCGCACGACGACGCCCTGGGCCCCGGCCCCCCGACCCTGGGCGCCCCCGCCGCCTGCAGCACGAGGAGCGCGGCCGACTGCGCGCTGACGGCGCGGAGCGGCTCCGCCTCGCGGGGGGCTGCCCTCGCCGCCCGACGGCGCCGCCGCAGCAGCTCCCCTGATGTCCTGGCGGCGCCCTGTGGCAGGAAGAGGAGGGTCGGAGGTTACGAAAGGTGCCCCTGGCCCAAGGTGCCTTTCTCGGTCAATTTTGGAGCCTCCGGGGCCCTCTGGGCCTCGTGAGGGGTGTTCTGGAGGCCTTGAGGGCCTCCTCGGGAATCCTGAGGCACTTTGCACCATGCGCACTTCCAGCAACACCCGAGAGGAGGACCCGCGTCGCAGATGACTCCGCCAAGCCGCACACCGATGGAACCAAAACCGACCCGTGGAAACCGCGGCCATCCCGAAGCCTCGTGGGTGGAGAAGGGGGAGGAACTGGGGGCACCACAACCTACCGATTTCGCTGCTCCCTGGACCGCTGCCGGGTTGCTTACTGACCAGAATCTCGAGGCGAATCCAGGGGGCCACAAAGGGCGACAGCGGGGCCACGAAGGGCATGCAGATGGGGCCACGACGGGCGCGAACGAGCGGGGGACACGAAGGGCATGCGCATATTGGGCCGCAAAGGGCAAGGACGGGGCCACGAAGGGCAGCGAGGGGGCCACGAACCGCATGCATATGGGGCCACGAAGGGGCTGCAACAGGGCCACGAAGGGCAGCGAGGGGGCCGCGCAGGGCAGCGACGGGGCCACGAAGGGCAGCGAGATCCCGATTCCTAAGTAAGCTGCGAAGGAGTCCTACGCGTGAGCGCGATTCCTGGGTGCCTGAGTGTCGGGAGCGCGGCGCTTGAGTAAACATCGGAGAATTCCAACGCAAGGCCGTTCTTTACTAAATTGCAAGCAAGTCTCCAGCTAGAGCGCGACTCCAGAGCTGCGAGAGAGCGATCCCTTAATTACTCATTGCGTGGAGATCCCCGTATGTGCATCTTTTTCAAAAGATAATTGTCAGGGGATCTGGGAATGCGCGTCTAGCCATTTGGGCGCTTGGGACTGCTCCCAGGGCCTCTCGGGGCCTCCTGTTGCCTTCCGAGGCCTCCTGGCGCTTCCTCTGGCCTCCTGGGGCCTCCTGTGGCTTCCTGAGACCTCCCGGAGCTTCCTGGGGCCTCCCGGAGCCTCTTGGGACATCCTGTGGCCTCTTGAGTCTTTCTGTGGCGTCCCGATGCCTCCTGGGACCTCATGTGGTCTGCTGGGGCCTCTTGGAGCCTGTTGGAGCCTCCTGTGGCATCCTGAGGAGAATCTGTGCCCACGAGTCTGGCCACCGATCGAGACATCCTCAACATCTGGCCCACATGGGGGGTGAAAATGAGCGCCTCGCTCGAGACATCCTCCAAATCTGCTCCAAAAGCGAAAGATGTTGGGACAGAAAACAAGCAAACCGCAGGAGACATCCCCACAAAACGGCCCCGAACGGGACCGTGAAAACACCCCTGGCAGCTCCCCTTAGGGATGCTGAAAATGAGCGCCTCGCTCGAGACATCCACCAAATCTGCTCCGGAAGCGAAGGATGCTGGGACAGAAAACAAGCAAACCGCTTGAGACATCCCCACAAAACGGCCGCGAACGGGACCGTGAAAACACCCCTGGCGGCTCCCCTTAGGGACGCGAAAATGAGCGCCTCGCTCGAGACATCCACCAAATCTGCTCCGGAAGCGAAGGATGCTGGGACAGAAAACAGCAAACCGCTTGAGACATCCCCACAAAACGGCCGCGAACGGGACCGTGAAAACACCCCTGGCGGCTCCCCTTAGGGACGCGAAAATGAGCGCCTCGCTCGAGACATCCACCAAATCTGCTCCGGAAGCGACCAGAAAACAAGCAAACCGAGACATCCCCACAAAACGGCCCGAACGGGACCGTGAAAACACCCCTGGCAGCTCCCCTTAGGGAAAAATGAGCGCCTCGCTCGAGACATCCACCAAATCTGCTCCGGAAGCGAAGGATGCTGGGACAGAAAACAAGCAAACCGCATGAGACATCCCCACAAAACGGCCGCGAACGGGACCGTGAAAACACTCCTGGCGGCTCCCCTTAGGGACGTGAAAATGAGCGCCTCGCTCGAGACATCCTCCAAATCTGTTCCGAAAGCGAAGGATGTTGGGACAGAAAACAGGCAAACCGCTTGAGACATCCCCACAAAACGGCCGCGAACGGGACCATGAAAACACCCCTGGCGGCTCCCCTTAGGGGGGCTGAAGCCAGCGCCCCGCCTGAGACATTCTCACAATCTGCTGTGTGCGTGGCATAAATCAGACAATGAAAAGGTCCGAGTACGAGCAGGTCTGAGCATGAGTAAATCTGGGAGCAAGTCTGAGTATTAGTTAGTCTGGGCATGAGTGAGTCCCAGCATGAGTAACTCTGAGTAGGAGTTCTGAGTATGAGTAGGTCTGAGTATGAGTAGCTCTGAACATGAATGATTTTGGGTGTGAGTAAGCCTGGGTATGAGTAAGTCTGAGTGTGAGTCAGTCTGTGTATGAGTAAGTCTGGGTATGAGGAGGAGAGAGGAGGAGAAGGAGAATAATGAGGAGAAGTCGGCGGCGTCCAAGAAATACCAAGAACCCCATCTTAGGATATGGGGAATAACGCGTGAGGAAGTTCCCAGCGAGAGCGCGATACCTGAGTAAAATGCGAGGAAGTCTCAGGCGGGAACGGGGGTCCTGGCTAAATTGTCAGGAAGTCTCAGGCGGGAGCCGTTGCTGTTGGAATCCAGGTGCCAACGACACAGTTTAAGCCCCGTGACTCTCCTTCTATTACAAACAGAGTGCGGGCCACGGAGGAAGGGCTTCAATTGAAGAACACTTTGGTCACCAGAAGGGGGATCAACAATAATCCCACCAGCCCTCCGGGCTTAGGTGGTATAGCGCGTTGTTTCTTCTCACTTCCACTGAAACCCCTCCCCCTACCCCCTCCCACGGGCCTGGAAGGGGGGGGGGCACCGAGGCGTTAGAGCGTCCAAAATGGCCCAAGATTGTTCCAAGAGGGCTTCGTTGTCGCAAGATGGCCTCCAAGATGGCCTATGCATGGCCCATGCTACTCCAAGATGGGTCAAGATAGTCTCCGACATACCCCCAAGAGGCCCCAAGACAGCCCCAAGACGGATCCAAGTGCCCTTCGAGCCCTCCACGGCACCCTCCAAGATGCCCAAATCGCTCAAATGCCTAAGGGAAATCAATGTTTTTGGCATGATCGCCGCTTCGCTTCCGATGGGCTTTGGAAGCGTCAAAATGGCCCCTAGATGGTCCAAGAGGGACCCAAGAGGGGCCCAAAAAGGCCGAAGACGGCCCCAAGATCGCCCAAAAGGCGCCCAAGAGCGCTCCAAGAGGGCCCCAAGATGCCGTTTGAGAGCTTCCCAGGAGGGCACGGATTTCTCCCCCCCCTCTTTTTTGAGCCATGGGGCCCAAGATGGCCCCAAGAGGCCTCCCAGCCTCTCCCAAAGACCCTCCACCCCGCCCTTGTTGGCCCAAGATGGCTCCAAGAGGGCCCCAGATAGCCCAAGATGGCCTTCAAAATGGCCTACGATAGCCAAGCATGGCTCAAGATCGCTTCCGACAGCCTTCCAAGAGGCCTCAAGGCAGCCTCAGGATGGACCAAGATAGCCGAGCATGGCTCAAGATAGCCTCCGACAGCCTCTAGCCGAGCATGGCTCAAGATAGCCTCCAAGAGGCCTCAAGAAAACGGGCAATACATTATGGATGGGTTGGCGGGGATGCTTTTTGGTTCGCGGCTCCAAGGCGAGGGACATGGAGGGGGCACAACGTCCGGGGCGCGGTACGTAGATAATTGGCGCGAGATTGCCGCAGACTCCAGCGGGCAACACACGCAGTTGCGCATGCACATGCCAAGGACAAAATGCCCCTCATTGAAACGCATTTCAGCGTCTGCTGGTGACCGGCCCAGACAGCCTAGCTGGTGGGGAAGCAAAAGGCGCGGCAACCGGCAACGGGACGGGGGGGAGAAGTCGCCCTTGCGGCGCCAAGATCCAGCCGAATCGCAATCGGAAGCGAGGCCAAGACGGACAGCAAGGCACTGTGAAGGCCACGGGCAGAACGCGAGTCCGAGAGGCCAAAGACCAGGCGGAACCCACGTGTGTGCACACAGAGCCAGGCCGTCCAAGACCTCGGAAAAAGGGGGGTGAGCGCGAGCGAGAGCAACTAACTCAGACTCACTGTAGCTCCACGAGCATACGATGGCGCGGCGAGGGAGACCCGACTCACCAAGGCTCACTGAAGCTAAGGTGTGGCTGATCCGCATCAGAGCGCCATCCAGTAGAGGCAGAACACTGGTGTGCGCTCACGAGACTGAGCAGCCTCCAGCCAGTTGCCCGTGCGCTCACATCGTATCCGGATCACGCTGTTCGGGGGCACAACGATGCAATGTACTGACAAGGGCTGGTGGCTGTGGCTGCGCCGAAAAGACTGAAACGAACACGAACCGCAGAAGGCTGAACCACTCAATGCAGGGCCGCTCACTTTGACGAAGCCAATCACCAGGTGCATGGCGGACAGCCGCACCCACTCAACACCTGCCAGGATGCCCGCGCAGAAACCGAATACCTCCGACGCCGGGGCGAACCGATGACTGGCAGCTGCAGAGCTGCTGGGCCGCGCCGTTCGCTGGCGGCGCGCTGACGGTGGGCCAAGACGTCCTTGTAGTAGAACCATGGCCGGGTCGGCGACGAAGGAAAGCATTCCGGGACAGGTCTCGGGGCAGGGGGGGGCGCAGCCAAAAGCCGCTGAACACAAGTGTCAATGAGGGGTGTCCGAGCACCAACCAGTAAAAGGCAGGCCACTGGTGTGCGCACACGAGGCTGAACAACCACCAGCCGGTAGCCTGCGCGCTTACATCGTATCCGACTCACGCAGTTCGGGGGCACAACGATGCAATTGTGCTGACGAGGGCTGGGGCTGCGGCTGCGCCGAGCGAAACGAACTCGAACCGCGGAAGGCAGACCCACTCGATGCGGGGCCGCTCACTTTGGCGAAGCCAATCACCACGTGCATGGCGGGCAGCCGCAC